AATGTAATTAAAATGTATATTTTTGATAGTTTATTATTTTATAAATTATTCCTTTTTTTTTAATTATTTATTTTATTCTTACTCTAGAAAGAAAGACGTGAAATTAAATTTGGAATTATCAAGACTGCCACAAGGAAGCAATACACTTTCACCAACATCTGCATCTAAAACATTGGCATCGAGTCTATTGTCATCTATCACAACAACTACCACTGCCACTACAACAACAAGTCCTATTCCAGTCAATCAAATTCGCAGGTAAAGAAATTTTTATACTAAGAATCTACACTTATGTTATTAAATATTGTCTAAATGTTAGAAATGACATTTTTCAATCTATTTTACATCAAATTACAAGTGAATTGCAGTATTTCACTGTCTCACGAAATGTAAAAGATATTAGCCGCAAAATTTTTAATCATCTTTCTACAATATCTCCTCTTAATTAAAATTCGATTCCTTACATGTAATATTTTTGTGCATATATGTATTATTTAACTTCACATCTTTCTACTTCATATCTTCATGAAGTAAACGTTCTAAACTTTAATTATTTTACGTAAAACTATAAAAATTTTAATGCTTATATCTTTACTTTTGTTATATAATTAATACTGTGTAAATGCTTGGGTTTTTCTAAGGCGGGTTTTTTTTTTAAGGATAGAAACACTTATTTGCATCATTAAAATACATTATCACATGTACACAATCGATAAACATATATTTACATTCTGTATTGTGCGTTATAATTAATGTGGCTGGGTAGTGTTCAACCAGTGGAAGCTGCATCTACAATTGTATCAAATACAAATAATGCAGTAGCAACTGCTCCTGGAACTCCCACTACACCAGGAGGGAGCAAGCTAAGTCCAGGAAATCTCTTCAAGAATTTCTTCAAGTGGGTACTCACTGCTCGGAAGATCCTCCTGAAATATTATGACTTTTGCATATTGTCAAATATTTACGTATTAATTACGTTAATTTGTTGGCAGTAGCATGG